GTTTTAACTTAATCTTTACCCACTTGAAGTCATCTAGAACATTAAGGGCTGTATTTACCAGTGCAATCATTAGCTTAATTATAGTCCTCTAGCCACCTTTGGAAAACTCAACCGGAAAAAAGAAAAATATATATATTTGGTTTACAAAGCATTTCTGCTAATGAGACTTTTTATTTTTTGCAGAACTTCCCAGCAAATGACGCGCCGGTTTTGTATTGCACTCACTGATTGGCTGGAACGGTTGTCAAAAACTACAACGCATGTGCTAAACCGCATTTGAAAATTCTATAGAGTGTACAGCCTAACTGCCCTTTAAATATGCCTCCCAGTACTTTTATACTGCACCTTCAAGACGCACCTAGAAAAGGCTTCCTATTCCATCCTAAAACACAAGCACTTAAATAACATATACAATCTTTCCATGTTTCTAAAGGTTGTGGTTTCAACATCACGCTACGAGCCGTCAAGCCAGAATTTTGTGACGATTTTTGGTGTTGGATTGCTCCAAAAAGGAAGTGATGTAATTTGTGTGGTTTTGTACATGTTGCCTCCCCATGGTTTGTGGTTTCTATTGATAGGTTGTGTGTTAGAGCACCTCCGTGTTCATCTGAGATGCCCCCATGTTTAACTGTGCTGCAGGCCCCATAATCCCTTTTGGTCACGAGCCTCAAACCGGTGTCGTGCGCCTGTTGGATGCATTGTTATGTAGAGACTCTTTGTAGTCTTTAGGAATGGAGTTGTGAACTTGGAGAAAGTTGTGCTCCCTTTCAGAGTTTAGTAAAGAGCCAACAGTCATCTTGGTGGGATCCCGGGTTAAAGTATAGAGGGAGATGTCACTGGTGGGAATGGGATTGAAACTTTTGCCAACAGGGGAAGGGTCTCTAGAACGGGGCTCGGTGGAGCGCGAGCTGGAGCGCCGGCGGAAGCGATATCGGTAGCTGGGTATCCGGGTAAAGGCAGATTTTTTGAAGAGGTCGGATTGAGATTTGGCTCTTATTTGGCGATGCTTTTCAATAAACATATGTACCGCTAGTACGCCAACCATCTCGGCAATAATAAAAGAAAGTGCTCCAAAATAAAAGGACCAGCCGTAGGAATAGTTGCTTTTCTTTGAGTCGCTTTGACCGGGGTCACCAGCATTGGCTGAAATGTAGACAATTATTCCAATGATGTTGCTTAGTCCTGAAACAGAGAAAATACATTTAAGGAACAGCAGACCTATAATATACGTTGGACAATATCTAAAAGCATTTACAGGCCTCCATTCAAACTTGCCTGTAAGGAAACTGGTACTATTTAAAGTGACCTGACCTGGTCTAAGATGTTTTTATGACAACAACAGCACTGAAGTTTAGGTACCTTTGTGGTGCCTGAAAGTACATGTATTAGTCTTAAAATTGATGCCTGTGTTCCTGTTAAGCTCCTTGGAACCTAGGCCCATGCTGTACGTGGACCTAGGTTCCAATGGGCCATATCATGTTCCAAAGTTAAGAATATGCCCTCCTCCCTAAATTCTAATTATTAAATTTGAACAAACTGGACCACTCTTTATAATGGTTCCTTTGCCATATCTTAGATCAGCACATATAAGTAGCCTTATAAAAAAACTTCTAGAACCTGTCATCTATGGATAAACAGAACCCCTAACATCCAAAACAATGCATATCATCTATCAAATATGTTACTCAGTTCTCATGTCTCCATGCCAGATTGCACCTCTTAACACGTCATTTAGGCAATGTATTTTTGGACTGATCAGGGTAGAAGATCCAACCATTTTACTCACAGTTATGATTAATTAGTCAAGCCAACTTCTTGTCATCACATGTTACGACAGTTCTCATCTTAAAATCCTTTCTTCCAGGCTGACACCTCCATTGCAGGATATATTCTGTATGGCTAAAAGTTTGTGGGCACCTGACCATCACACCTACTGTATATGAGCTTGTTGGAAATCCCATTCCATACCACTGGCAGTATTAAAGAGTTGTTCCCCATAACTTTGTATTGCATACAGCCAGAAAGGGATGTTCTAAGGTTGACCCTTGTTTGTTTGTAGTAGACACGATCCTTGTTCCTCCCCTGAACCCCACCCTCCCCCCCCATCTTCCCTTCCTTCCTTTCCTCCCACCCCCCCCCTTTTTTCCTACCCCTCCCCGCTCCCATATCGGACGGGAAAATTACTTGGTCACTGCCCGTTAGCGGCCGGAAGTCTGCTAGCGAAGGCATATGGATTGAGCCAGATGGCACTCTGCTGTATTCCCATTTCGATCCCTATTGTATCTCTTTGCTTGATCCTGTTACCCCAAATGTTATGGTTTCTTTGTCATGTAAATTTGGAAACTTGGCAATAAATAAAGATTATATAAAAAAAAGAGTTGTTCCCCTTTGTCACTATAACAGTCTTCACTCTTCTGCGAAGGCTTTGCACAAAATATTTTAGTTTGTCTGTGGAAATTTGTGCTTCAGAGAAAAGAGCATTTGTGAGGTCAAGTACTTAGTTTAGCCGTAAAAACTTGGCTCGCAATCAGCTTTCTAAATCATCTAAAAGGTGTTTAGTAGGGTTCTGGTCAGAGCTCCATGCAGGTCACTGGAGTTCCTCCACACCAAACTCATCAAACCATGTTTTTATGGAATTGACTTTGTGCACAGAAGCATGGTCATGCTAGAACAGAAATGGACCTTCCACAAACTGTTGGGACATGGTTGCAAGTGCACAATTGTCTAAAATGTCTTTGTATGCTGTAACTATAGCAGTACCTGTCACTAGAAGTACCTAAAAGCAATCATTTGGAGGGGTGTCCACTAACTTTTTGCCAAAAAGTGTTTTATATTTTTGATATGGGGCATTACTGTTTAGCTTGTAGGGTCTAGAAAACAGGATTTTTTTCTTGATGTTGATTAGGGGACACAAGTTCAGAAGGATTTTGAGTTATATTGCTGCATACAGGAGAATTGGATACCCCCAAACAAAAGCTGTTAGTCAACCAGTACATAACCCCTTCCACTCACATCATGCTTCAGATTTTGAACAAAAGTAGGAGTGATTTAAGACAGAGGGGTGGGACTTGTGTGCCTTAATGAGCTCCAAGAAAAGAATGTTACGGTAAGTCAAAAATCCTGTTCATTCATTGAGGGACATAGTGCTAGAAGGATTCTGTGATGTTATGGGAAGTCCAACAGCAGTTCAATTGAGGGATGGGCAACACAGCAAACAAAAGCTAACAGGCCCACAAAAAACACATAATCTAGGCTCTCAAAATGGGCAAAGAAACTTACCGTGCGGGGTCTAAAAGAGCTTGTTGCGTCAAACAGACACAGTAGTTAATACCGTAAAGTGCCAATGCTAGGGTCAGCTGCTCAGTTCAGACAGCCTTCACCACTCAGGTGGACATACTCTCAGGGGAGTCTTCAGGGACAGGTAGCCACCAGTAGGGGTATATACATATTTACATAGTTAGTCAGGTTGAAAAAAGACACATGTCCATCGAGTTCAACCTATCACAGCCCTTGACCTGTAAAACGTCCTGTGGCTAACACATCACGCTAGGTGTTTGGAGAGTGCCACAAGAAGGACCCAGTACCCGAAGGTCACATTAAAGGCCGGCCCAACGTCTTCATCGTGGCGGGGTCCAGCAATGGTCTCCAAGGCAGCACTGAGGATCAACCAATCTCCACAAACTGCAAAATGAAGTCTCATGGCTCTGCAGTTAATGAAGTATCTTGATTGAAGAAAACAATATCTTGATAAAAAAACGGAAGGAAAGGAATGTTAAATAAAATGGGTTTTTGTTTCTTTCTGAGGAGATAATATGTCCAGGACACTAGAAAAAAACTGCAGCATAATAGAGTGGAAGGGTTATGTTCTGGCTGACTAGGAGCTTTTTTTGTTCCACTGTCTAACTCTCCTGTATGCATCAATATAACCCTTGCGTCTCAGAATCCTTCCTTCCCTGTGTCCCTCAATGAACAACTAAGAAATGTTTATTCTTTCACATTCCATAGAAATTCACATTCTGCACGCATACTTTGGTCCCTCACCTTTATTAGCCACCCCTGGAGCTTACCTGCTGAGACGAAGAAGATCCCTGCACTAAGAATCACATTGTGCTTATTCTTATAAAACTCACTGGCAGCCACACACAGACCTCCAAAGAAGAGAAGACCCACACTAAGGATGGGGAAGATACTGGAAGCACGTACAGCACCTGAACAGAGAGGAGAACATGTGTTATTAAAATAGTAGAGCTAGGAGCCTGGAGTCTAATTTACAAATGTTTGTCTCTTTCCCCCTCATTGCACTAATGACAGCATCACTGCAATGTGATTATTAGCTGGAAGAAGGTTTGCAGCTCACAAATCGGTTATATAAACAATTTCCTTTTATTCATTAAATACTATTTTAATCTTTTTCATTCTTCTATTTTATCTCAGTGTTGTTGTTCTCCTCTAGCCTCTTTCTGCCACATCCTGTCTACATGCTTCGTGATAGTAACAACGGATGACCATTGCTGTGTGTGTGTTGGCACAGCTGCTTGTAGTCTTTACCAGGGTACAGTGTCAGATGGTGTTGGAGCTTACCTGGGTTGACGACACTGTCACATGATACACAACAATGGGAAACTATTCCTCCCACTGGCAGAACCCTATTGCTCTGACCCATTCCTCCCAATGAAGAATCATTCCTTCCATTGATACCAACGATGGGGCACTATTCTTCCCACTTATACCAACAATAAGGCAAAGTTCTTTCCACTAACACTCACTGATGGGCCACAATTCCTCCAACTGAAACCAATGAATGGCCACTATTCCTCCCACTGACCCCAATAAAGGAGAACTATCCCTTCCACTGATACCAATGATGGTGCACTATTCTTCATACTGATACCAACAATGGGGCACCATTCATCCCTCTGATACAAACAGTAGGGCACCATTTCTTCAACTAACACTAAATGATGGGCAACTATTCTTCCCACTGATAAAAATAATTGGGTACTATTCCTCCTATTGATACCAACAATGGGGTACTATTCCTTCCATTGATACCCACGAAGGGGCACTATTACTTCCACTAACACCAACAATGGAACACTATTCCTTTCACTAATACTGACACTGGAGCACTATTCTTCCAACCAATACCAACAATAGGGCACTATTCCTCCCACTAACACCCAATGATGGGCAACTATTCTTTTTACTGATACCAATGGAACTCAATTCCTTCCACTGATACCAATGATGGGGCACTATTCCTCCTACTGATACCAACAATGGAGTACTATTCCTTCCACTAATACCAATGATGGGGCACTATTCTACTCACTGACACCAATGATGAGGCACTATTACACCCACTGACACCAATGATGAGGCACTATTACCCCCATTCATACCAACAATGGAGCAATATTCCTTCCACTAACATCAAAGATGGGGCATTATTCTCCCTCCCACTAACCAAAGGTGCTAGGCCATTTTTTACTCCCAATGCTCACCAACCATGGGACAATTTTACTGGTCACTTCCACCTGAGCATTTTATACTCTCACTGGCCAAAGTCGGCTCCTCTAAGGTCTGAAGGTCAGTGAGCTGATTCTTTGTTTAGAAAATTTGGTCAGAACAACGGGGTTCTTACAAAATGCGGAAGTGGTGAAGGAGCATGGATGGGTAGGTATAAATAAAAGCTTCAGACTTAAAAAGATTAAAAATGACCTTCGAAATGACCTTACCATATGAAAACTTAGATTAGATTAGTGATTAGTTTTACATATACTCCATAAGAATATTAGTCCTGGTTCCCATTTCTCAATGTGCCCCAGGCAGTGATGAGGACTAATCTGTTGTATGGGCTAACGTCAAATGTAAACTGAACAACATTATTGTCCAGGATGGGAAAAATTGAATAATAGTGATCCTTCATAAGTGTATAGCGCTGACTGTAGCACTTACTCCCATTATACTGCAAACCTCTGTTTCCAGTATGTAGAGTCCTGGGTGGACAGCTTGGCATACATATGGCTGAATTTGCAAACGGCCCCCAGTATCCCTTTGACAATCTGATTTCAGGTTACATTTTTCACCTGGGTGACATAGTAAGACAATGGCTCTCCTCTGATGTATATTTTCTAGCTGTGAAAGTGTTGCCTGTAGACAATCCATTGTCAGTGATGTGTCTACCTCTATCCTATCACTGATGAAGAAGAAAATAAGGTTTTCAGAGCTTCCGAGATATGAAAAGACACAAAGAAAAATAGACATCTGCCTCTCAGTAAACAGAATCTCTCTGTAGCCATCCCTGGGACTGCCGGAGGCTTTGGCATCGCAAGAAACCTGTTAGAGAATATCTTTATTTATCCAGAATCCCGAAGAGCATCTCACTCTTATCAGCCAGGTTGCTTGGGGCAGCTCTGTGCGCTGCAACACGATTGGCTTAGAACTGGCAAGCTGCATGGGCAGGGATGTCATTGATTATTGACCGTTGAGTGGCTGAGCTTTAGAGCTTGTTCCCTGTGTTCTGGCTATTATTTAAATGCAACCAGCTCAATAGCAATATGCTGTAGCATTGATTTGGTGATCTAATAAACCATGTCCCCACTGCGAGGTATTGTATTATAATGACACCTTCTGTCATTTTTTTGTTTCAAACATTTATTTTACGCATGTCTGCCACAGATGATGCTAAAGTCGTCTTATTCTTAAAGCGAACCTATTATTTTGGCGATGACTAAGCCACAAGTTCAGTAGGTCTAAGCACAATGACTAACATTTAGCATTTTATTGTTGAAACCTTGGGGGTCTTTGTTCAGGCACGTCTTGTTATAGGCTGGCAATGCTTTATCCCAACTGCCAGGGTCGTTCCATTAATGATGCAGCTCGAGGCTGTTGCCGCAGGTGGCATCTCATTTGGTCCCCCATGGGGGGTGGCAGGCAGAGTGGTATGTTTGTTTTATAATGGCTGCTCTGGATGTGTTCATGCAACCCCCTTTCCGGCCAGAGCATCCCAGGTTGCTGAGAGCCGGATAGGGAGATGCAGAGCCTGCAGAGGGAGGCATCATTTTCATGTGTGATATCACCTGTAGAGTCCCCCCCCCCTTCCCCACCTCAGGCGGCAAAATAGGCTAGGGACACCAGTGCCAACTGCACTCCTGCATTGTCTCCTGGGTTTCTGACTACAAGTAGCCATGCCACATGCATTGCGCAGGCACGGTCCACAGTTGTCACCATTCAATGCTGAGAGGTTGCCTTGTTTAATCTTTGAATTGTGACTAGGGAGCTTACAAAGAGTGCCAAAGCAGCCAATCACCAACCACTAGCAATGTCACATGGGAGGAAGTGGAGTGTGTCACATGTTCCCCTAAACCTAGAAGTATGGGGAATTTATCTTTGCTGGGGAGGAGGACAGTTAGGTAAACCTGTTGCTTTGGCTTGCATGGCACTGTTCTGAGGGTAACAATAGTGACTGGTTGTTAAAATTCACCTTCATCAAATCTGCCTTAAATTGCCTCAACCAGGGAGCATCGGTCCATGGAGCGCCTACATACCTCTCCTTACAGAGAATGTACAGTGAACACCTCCATATCTTCCTAATTATTAATATTATGTAGTCTTATATAAGAAGCTCCACTCTCCATTTTATATCATTAGCTTGAAGACTTTTTTAAGTGTGCACAAATAATCCACTATTTATAGAACTCAAATTACTTCTCCCTTACGGGACACCTCAATCTGAAGTTTAAAATATATATATCTGGGGAAAGGAGGGTCCCAGAACATAAATATCAACCATATATATCCCCTGGTGGTGGGTCTCCTATATTACATAGAATTGGCACATTGCCCCATAGAGGGAGATCCCACCACAAATGCAATGATGCAACTATTTAGTTATGTATAAAACATGTAATTTATTGAATACATACGAAATTTAATCTTTAACATATAAAGTGCTTTAGCTATTTAGTTATGTATAAAACATGTAATTTATTGAATACATACGAAATTTAATCTTTAAAATACAAAGCACTTTATATGTTAAAGATTAAATTCCATATGTATTCAATAAATTACATGTTTTATACATAACTAAATAGCTAAAGCACTTTATATGTTAAAGATTACATTTCATATGTATTCAATAAATTACATGTTTTATACATAACCTATATGGTGAAATGTGCCAATTCTAAATCTGAAGTTTCCATTACACGAAGCAGTCTGTTGAGCTGTGCTGTCTCTTTAGCTAACCCATAGTGCTCTGGAAATCCTTTGCCCGTGTCTTAAATGTTTATTTGTAAAACAAAGATTTAATATAGATAGTAAAAACAGATCTGAAAAAGCAGAAATATAACTGATCCCATTTTAGTTTCCCTTAAGAGGGCATTTTAATGAAATCCTAAATTACTTTTTTGCCTCCGCATTCACAGACAGCTACAAAATGCATAAAAGGAATTTTCAGTCAATCTTCTACTCTTAGCTCAGAGACTAGTTTCCTTTGTTAGTATGAGTAGATAAGGATGTTTGGACCTGCCTGTGTCACATCCCCACTCCTTCCTCATCGCTCCTCTTCATTCATACAGAAATTGCTAAAGATCTCTGTGTTGCCTTTCACTCTACAGGCTGCATTGAGGTTGAAGAGCAAACAGCGTGATCATGCAAGGTAAAGTCCTTACGCAGTAAGTACTCCGCCGTGTCCTGTTCATAATCGGCATCCTCGGGAAAATGGTCAATTTTCTTGCACATTCCTCGGAAGGCTCCTGCGGGAGAGAGATAACTAGTTACACAAAAGCAGCAACTGGGCCAAAATCACACAGGGACTTAAAACTCTCTCTTGAGAGATGAAGTGTCGTGCGAGGCATTAACGCAGACAAACATAAAGCAGAAGTAATCTCCTGTTTAACCCTGCTGTACTTACAGAGCTCCCTAATTCTATCTGGTTCAGATGCAGGACCGATGACGCAAGTGGGCATTGTTTATTGAAATGTCTCTGGCACATACTGTTTCAGGGAACCTATCTATACCGTCCCACGGTATCCACTTAAGTTCAATTGCTTGTTTTTCATTTTAAAGTGGAAATTAACTCTGGAAGCTGTGCCTGAAAAAAGGCAGGCAGAGGGTAAAGGACTAGTCACCAGTATTGCCTGTGGTCTTCCTGCAGCTGATCTTTCCCTATTACTCACTTACTATGCCTTGTTTTGGTGAGACTAGCAGTCAGAGGGATTAGTGCCGTAGATCGCACATTGCAGATATACAGCAGTGTAGCTGCACTCACATATCAAGGATGTGCACTGTTTTTTTCAGGAAGAATTCCTGTCAAAATTTATCATTTTCAGGGTACTGCATAGGTACGATGCTTCGAATGTTTCCTATAACATAGCAAATCTTTGCTTTTTGAGATCAGGTCCACTTTAATAATGCAAATAAAGATTCCCAAACTCATGGTGTTTGATGAATAATCTATAGGAGCTGAGAAGACACCATTGGCAGAAGGACAGAAAACTTTTCTATTGTTTCCATTCTGCCTACCCACCTTCCTCCTATCCCCCACTCTCCTCTTCATGGACATTCAGTTAAATTAAAGTGACACTAAACTCAGGAGTTAAATCTTGAAATAGGATTCAAGTACCCGAATTATTAATATAAATGTATCTTATTTGTGTATCACTAGACTGTAGATCCTAAAAATAATCTCTGAATTGGTGCCAACACCATTCTTCTTTCTGGAAGGGGGCTCCTTTTGTTCCCCATGGTCACTGTGTGTGTTGTAAAGTAGTCACCGCTCCAAGCTCGCTCCCGTGATGGACTACAATCTCATGTTTAGTTTACTAATTTGTATGAGCGAGCTTGGAGCAGTGGCTACTTTACATCACACACAGGGGCCATGGCGAGCAAAAGTAGCCACCCTCCATGAGGAAGGACAGTGTCAGCACCAATTCAGAGATGATTTGAGGATCTACAGACGAGTGATACACAAATAAGATACATTTTTGTTAATAGTTCAGGTACTTAGATGCATTTTTAAGATTTTTTAAAAAGATGTAACTCCTGAGTTTAGTGTCACTTTAACAATGCAAATAAAGATTCCCAAACTCGTGATGTTTGATTAATAATTTATATGGGCTGAGCAGACACCATTGGCAGAAGGACAGAAAAACTCTATTGTTTCCATTCTGATTGCCATCTACCTTCCACCTATCCCCCATTCTCTTCTTTATGCTATAGACATGCGCACTCAGTTGAAATTATTGTTAATGTCTATGCTGCAGGTTGCATCAAAAGAAATCTAGAGATGGTTTAACATTATTGCCTGTACACGCCACTGTGCTATGATACCTATGGTATTTATCTTTAATGGGTATCTAATCGCTTGTCATGTGGTAACGTTGATTGTTAGAGACTGTTCATCTCCTCCAAATCTTTGATAAATAAGGCCCACTGTTAGGTGACTGCAGTTAAAGCTAAATTGGGTGTCCAGATTGTGCAGAGCGGCCCACAATCCGCTCTTCATTCCGGCTGTCACCCCCAGTATACTCCTTATTCATGTGTATTGATGTGTTTTAAATACATATTTTGCATTCCCATACTTTCATTTATGAGTATAAACTTTTTTTTTGCTGTTCTGGAAGGTTTTGGAAGAATTTTCAACCCTCGAATCTCTCTAGTCTTAGTTACATATAGCTTACCCCACCACATTGGGCCTGAGTCACTGGGAGGGGAACCCCCCGTACCCTTCCCTTTTTCCTTATCCTTTCCCTGGGTTTCTCTCTCTCCCCTTTTTGCTTTGTTGTACTTTTCTCCTCCCCCTTCCCCTCTTTTACTTCTCCTCAACACTTTCTTTCCTCTATTCTCTTGCCAACTAGTGTAGCCATCCAAGTTGAACTATCCCTCAGTAGGTGGGAACTCAGTGACTTTGCATTTTGGTCCTAGACACAGGGTTGCTGCTTTATACCCTTCATGCCAATAATGTTGCTCTTGTAAGCTTTGTTGTATGTTCCTGGCCCTGCATGGGCTACGCAGATGTCCTACTTTTGAAAATGAATACAAATACTGAAGCTGAAAACAACAAAGTATGAGCCAGAGTTTCCACTTTCAGTGGGTAAAGGAAAAATTTCCTTTTTTTGCCTTGTTAAAATGGATTTGCAGTGACGCTGTAGCTTTGACAGTGCATGTATTATTGGAAAGGGGGACGGTTAATCCAGTGGAATACTCCAGCATCATCATGTGCTTGGGTACCTTCCATTGTGTGTGAAGAGAGAAAGAGGAAAATCAATTCTGCGCTGGAGGGAAGGACAAATGTAATGAACCGGACGGAGTTCTGAAGTGCCCACATTTGTGTTGCGTTAAGTTGGATGGTTTTCTTTTCCCATTCCTCTTATTTGTATGTTGTTTACAACCATGTCAGCAGCTGCGTCCAGTCCCCAATACCACATATATCTCGCTGGTATAGTATGAACACAGGATACCAGCCCGTTCTCAGAATATGACATGCTGTGCCGCATCTGGGCCATCTGGACTGAGCTAAACATTATCTGTTAAATAAAGAATGAATTGGCAACACAACATATACTTTCCAAACAACTCTTTTTCGGATATTGCTACATGGGAGCCTGTTAATGGCAGTGAACAAATGTGCTCTGCATTAGCTCCCGCATCTGAGACCGGGCATCCCTCACAAGTGCCACATTCAGCATCGCTATTGAGACACCATGAGCCACGGTACGATGAAGATGTCCACTGGACATAAACAGACTACTCTCTGCACTCCTAAACCTGATATTGGGAATTATTTACAGAGCTCTCAAGACGCTCTGGTCCAGCAGCAAGAGGACAAGATGGCAGTGGGACATGCTTCCTCCCCTCTCCAAACTGCACCAGCCGTACCAGCTTAGGGCGATCCTCCAACATCTCCCCCTGACACCATAGTAACTTCAGATGAAGATATGGGAAGTGGAGAATCACAAAGTGAGCATATTGCTACACTTTGCGTGTCACTAATCTACTAACTGACATATCCGTCTGGATGTCGCAACACTTCTTAAAACTCAACATTTCAAAAACTGAGCTCATGATATTTCCTCCCGCCCATGCACCTTCCCCCAACTTTTCCCTTGAGATTGATAACACAACTATCCAACCCTCCCCCCATGCCAAGGTGCTAGGTGTCATGCTTGACTCTGACCTCACCTTTCTGCCTCATATCCAATAACTATCCAAATCCTGCCGCCTTCACCTTCGTAATATCTCCAAAATACGCCCCTTCCTCACCAATGAAACCGCTAAATTACTCATCCACTCACTTGTTATCTCTCGTCTTGACTATTGCAACTCCCTCCTCATTGGCCTACCCCTGCACAGGCTATCCCCCCTTCAGTCTATCATGAATGCAGCTGCTAGACTCATCCACCTAACCACAACCGCTCAGTATCTGCAACCAGGTCCAGATTTACTCTCTCTGCTGCCCCAAGGCCAGGTTCCTCAATGTGACCCCCTCCCCGCCAAAGTTTCCCACCCCAATTGACAATGGCAACCAGATGCCGGGGTTTGGTTTTAATTTTTTTTTTCTTTATTATTTTTTAACTTTATCAATTTTTTAAGTTTAATTATTTGTTTTGACTTTTTAGTCTTATCTTTTACTTTTTTTATAATTTTTT